ACACACCTATGAAGATAAAATAATTGCATCTGATTTGAAAATGTCAAATGAAATATCATATATTTAAATACTTGTTGCATTTACGTTGAGGGGCTACCAGATGGGAGGAGGGAGGGGGACACTGGGTATCATAATTGGGGCCCTGAATTTCTTTTCACTGAAAAGAGGGGAAAAAAATAATTTTTTTATCCCAATCTAATGTTATAAATTACCTGTGTTAGATGGAGAAATTAATTCTGCTTATGAATTGGGGAAGTAGGGAATGTTTGTTTGAAATGAAGGGGTTCCCAGGACCCTCGTTTTCTCTGGACCTCCGTGGACCCTGCTAATGTCCGCAACCGTCTTGGCTACCCAAGTCAATTGCCAATTGGTTTCCATTTCTGAAGCTCAAAAATGAAATGCAGACTCTTCCACATTTTAGGGTTTCTAAGAATAATTATCTTCATTATGAACACTCCTTAGTTACTAAGTTTATTACATGTTAGTTTTATACATTTTCCTCTGTTTATATGCACAGCAAACATCCTGTTGTCTGTATTGTCTATAACCAGTGTAGTTGCAGAAACATCCATTGTACATGAATGAAAATTATTTTGAATTTATTCAAAATAATTTTAAAAGCAGCTTCTGCTGGTATCTGGAGTATTCGAGGTAGGTAGGTTTTTACAGTAAATAAGTGAAAATTGCACAGCCTATTACCTTCATTAACTAACAGCCTTCTGCAGAACTAGCCCATTTACTATTACCCCTATGGGCTGAATTCCTGTCTCAGCATGTCAGTGGCCGGACAACATTTTCTTAAAATTTAGACATTTTACTTTAATTTGCAGATAGACTGGCAAGTTTTCAAATTGGTTACCTCACCACTTTTTGACATCTTGTCCCCCTTGACAGACTGTCGTACAACTACTGAGATTGCAGAATGTTTTTTCATGGTCAGGATCATTATATCAAAAACTATTAGTACAAAAGGTTTCATATTTATATTTTATAAATTCCAGTGACAGATTTTCAAGAACAAAGAAAACTGAAAAATCAAAATACATAAATTATACAGGGAAACTGCTTGTAATGACAAAATATGCATTCTTAGTCTATGAGATCTGCTTTTAAAAGTTTTGAGCTTAATTTAGGTAAATTGAACAATAAATTTCCAATTAGTATTTTAGAAGTCACTTTTGTTCTGAGACATTTTTATTTTGTTCACAAGAACAGGTTGCAAATATTAATTTGGAGAAGAAATTATACCAGTAAGATGATGCATTTTGGCACCAAATAAGTAGACTTATTATTTAATTTTGTTTGTGGGTTTCGGGAAAGGAAGACAACATATGGTACCAAAAGAATAGAAGATTATTTGACTTCAGATGAAAGGAGAATAATACCTGAGAATACACAAACTGATAGTATTTTTAAAAGTCCTTGTTAATATTTGCAGTTCTCATCAATGTAAATAACTTCTTTTAAGAATTAATGTGACTATAATCCAATGTCAAATATTTTATGAAAATTAATTTCAAAGAAAGATAGTTTTTTTATGAAAATAAATGTTTCTAGGCATGCTCTGTCTAAAGCAAACGAAAGGATCACTATATTTCTGACATCTTTTTATTTACAAATGACATATTTTACTGGTAAATAATACAATCATACTACACACTGCATACTCTCTGCTACAAGCAGTCATAATTTACGATTTTAATGATCCAAACAATTTATTGTTAAACTGTTTGCAGGTTATTCCATGGCTTAGAGAGCCTGTTTGCCAAATGTGTAACACTTTCACAAATTTTCATGATAAAAAAGAGCAATTGCTAATTGAGAAAGGGGGCCAATCAGGAATCAAACATGTTTATGGAATTAAAATATTTTATTGTTTTATTTCACCAAATTGTTCACTGTAAAAAAAGATTAATAACGATTAGTTATTAGCAATATTACATTTAATATATGACTTTTATTCTGTTTCAATCATAGACAGAAAATAAATGTAAAACTAACTTTTTAAATTCATGACAGATATTTAAAGAGGCCGCGCCAAGAGCAGTCCTTCCTACCCAGCGATCAGCCATGTGTGTTGTGAAGGCGGGAAGCCCATTGAAGCCCCGTCCGGCTTTATGAAGTTTATAGTACTAATATAAAATATGCCTTCGAAGCCCCTGCAAGGGTTAATTGGGCTTTGGTTCGAAGTATACTTTTCTATTTCAACTCAGTTACAAACACGTTAAGTTAAAAATAGAGGCCAAGTAATGATAAATCTGTGTCAAAAATTAACTGGCTTGTGTGAAACCGGAGTTGTCAAAAAGCTGTCAGCTATATTATTTCATTTCGCGAAACTACTCGCTTAACTCATCTAGTTAAAAATATATTGAATATTGTGAAACGTGTATTAGTATGTATTATATTTATTTTTAATATAAATTTTCCTAATTAAGATGCAGTTTTAAATGTTGGTCAACCTGATATTGACAGCTGAATTCAATTCGTCTTGCAGGAGTCCAGGGCGGGTAATAAGTGGCAGTGTGAATTTTCACGATTTTCACTTCGGTGTCGGCAACGTAGTGAAGGAATAATTATATTGAGTAAATGAACCATTGGCAATGTATTTGATTATGGTTACGTTAAATGTGTAATATAAGTAAAGTATCATTGATTCTTGGTCTCTTTTGTTAAGTTCGCACCTGTTGTGGGCTTCATTGTTCGTGGACAAAATATGTTGATTTTGAAAGTGTGATAATACATTAATCGTTACCATCAAGAAATTTAATTTAGGCGTTATAATCTCGTCTCTAAGTTCGTATTTTTAGCGAATTTCAAATTATTATGTAAGCTTGAATATTTTTTAAATGGAAGTGCTAACGCGAGTACATTAACAACATTCGACGAATGCAATGTTTTATCCTTATTAAATCTGAAAAGCAATGGAAAAATTTTGTTCGAATAAACAAATCCGGACAGATTCAAAAACCGAGTGTAACCAACAACTGAAAGAAAACCTCAGTTCAACCATGACCACTCCAGCAGTGCCAGATGAACTACCAGGTAAGGAAGACCTGTATGAACCAAAAGTCAAAAGTTCTTAAAATAATGCTTTACTCTTAAGAATATTTGTTTTGAACTGAGATCTACTATGCAGTTAATAGAAAATAAAAGTATATATTTTTTTAAGTATTTATATTTTTTTAAAAATTATTAATTGAATCTCTTTGATTAGTACACATTCCATTGAATAATATTGAGTCCTTTTAATAAAAATACAAAATCTTCGTTACACTACTGTGTGTAGTAGACTTCACTGGAAAATACATCTCACAGATTGGCATATTTACACGAGTCACCTCCTCTCCCCCCCCCTTTATTTTTTTTAAAGATCATCAAGAGGAGTCGGCTTTAATTAAATGTATATATGTTCTTGCTTTACTCGTGTTGTTTGCATATAATGTTTTGTAATGTAATTTTCTGTGTTTGGAACATTTCAGAAAAGTTGAAGGAGAGCTTTTCTGAGAATACTATGCCAGATGGCAACTTGACACTCAGTATACTGGATGAACTTGGAAGTAGTCATTTATCAGATTCAAGTATTGACTTGCAGTTAAGATTTCAACGGCTATTAGCTGAAAGTGCTTTGGAAAATTCTGCTTTTGGTATAATTAATTTTTTTTAAAATTTATGTTAATGTGATAGCTTATGTTAGGTTTGTATGTTATTTTCTATTTTGGGGCGGGTGGGGGATTTTGTTTCAGAGATCTCCAGGAATCCGGCAGAAACGACTCGAAATGAATTCACTTTAGGCACATCCACACCACGTTTCAGCCAAAGCAATGCCAGTTTATTTGGGTAAGGTCTTTCAGATGAACTTATTAGAAATATGAAAGTAGGTTTTAAGAAAATCCTGTTTTATATGAAATAAGTTAAGTGGTTAAACTCTTACTTTAACTTCAGAGACTTGTGCCATATAATACTTAGAAATTATTTTTATTTCAGTGAATCAAATAAACAAAAAACAGAAGAATTTGAAGCTCTTTTTAAAAAATATTATTCTGAAGACTTTGTTCCAGCAGGTGAGAGTTTGAGCATATAATTTAATATACCATTTCTGTAAATTTGTGCTAGGTTTAGAATTAAATGACTGTTGAAAATAATGAATATTGCATAAAATCGTTCTTTTAAAAGCACTGAATGATCAATTTTCATTCAATTTGCTTGTTTTAAACTTTAGTTGATTGCATATCAGTCTAACACCTGCTAATTTGTTTTCTGATGCTGCTGTCTTTAGTGACTTTCTGAGAAATTTTATAATGCCGTAGAACTTGTGTATACTTCACTTCTTCTTCCACTGGAAATAGAGTTTAATGCTAGTTGCAGGTGTCACACAGAATTTGACTTTAAAAATAGTGACAAAGTATGCATTTTAAAGGTACAAATAAACAAGTAGGAATTGTAAAAAAAGAAAAAGAAAATGGCATCTTTATGGGCAGTGCTTGTGTAAATTGTATGCATGTTGTACCAATTATAAATTGGAGTAAATTATCTGTAGCAGATTTTGAGCCCTTTTGTCATTCATTATGGGGGTCTTTGAAATATAGAGAAACATATCAAAAGGCAAAAAGTTATAATAAAGCATGTAGAAGTAAACATAAGAAATTGAAACGAAATAAGAGTGACTTGGATTGATGATAGTCTTCAGTAAATTATTTTTGGGTAAAAATGAAGTGAAAATGAATTAAAGTTCAAATTCATTTTTCAACCAGTTTCAAGTGAATTAATGAATAAAGAAAGATAACAGGATTCAGCATATAATTAGGTGCAGAAGTTTAATTTGTTTGACTATTAAAATCTTACATGAACTAATTACCAACCAAAAGATGTATAGTATGTATAATATGAAAATACTGGATAAATATGTGAGAACGTGTGTATACATGTAATTAAACTTTGTATGTGTTCATAGGGTAACCAATACTTTTTGAATTTCTCATTTTTATGTACATATACAGAGTTATAGATATAGCATACAGGAAGTTATGTAATGTTGTGCAAAATCGATTTTGGGATTTTAAAGGAGATGCACATTTTGGGGTCCCTTGAGACCAAGAAAGTGGTTAGTTTGAACACCTCTATGAACAACATTAGCGTCTAAACTAAGCTAATACAATTATTGTAGAATTTTTGGATATTCCAGAGTCAATTGGGCTCATTTCCATGCTCTACGATTTTGAAAAACATTCATTAAATTGTGATGGGTACTTTCATGAAGTCCTGGGACATTTTCAAAATTTTCTCAAAAATGACTGCAAACTTTGCTTCAAATTTTTCAGAAAGAATAGGGCAAAATACTTATAAATATGGTATGGGTCCCTATTTTCTCTACTTTTTCTCTAAAACTCTAAATTTTCAAAAGTTGTCAAAGGAAATTTGTTCAGTGTCTTCCTACAACTGCAAAATTGAAGATAGATTTTTTCTTCAAATGAAATTTGTTCCCCATGATTAGTTCTTTTGTTAATGTCTTGTAGATTTTTTGTAGTGTTTGTGCAAGTTTTTTAAAATATGGACATTAAAAAGTTTGAAAAGCAAGAATGTCTCAAAAACAGCTCCAAATTTTTTCTTTAATTTTGTGGTACTGATAGTGCAAAATGTACTTACGCATAAGATGACATAAACACGATTTTGCTCTATTCTTTTGAGTTTACAAAAATGACTCATTTGTAATTTTTTTGACGTCTCTCATGTTACAAATCTGAGCCTGAGAATCTGAATTTACCCTGTAAGAAAAGTAAGAATGGTAGGGTTACCAGATGTTGGTATATAACAGGACATGTACGTATAGTAGCTATTGTTGTGATGTCCATACTTATTTTGTGAAATCAGCAAATTGTCCATATTTTCATATTACAAATAGTGATTATCTATTCAAGCACTGTAAACTAGTGTGTTTAAAAAAAAAATATATTCACGTTGTATCTCAACTGCAATCTTTTTGACTTTAAGTTAGTGTATTGGGTGCCATCGTAGATCATGTTAAAAACCGAGTATCTATTTGTCTGAACTCCATATCACACTCCTTATCTAGTAAGTCGTGAGCATACTTTTTTATTAGATTTCACACTTAGACTGGTAGAAATAAACAGGAAGAAACAAAAGTCACCATTTCTTGGCATGGATTGAACAAAAGCGTGTCAATTTCAACATAGTTTATGCATTTACAAAACTGTGTTTGGTGTTCCTCTGTGGTAAAATAAAAAAAATAAAAAAGGAGGGGGGGGGAAGAAGGGGGTGAAAAGTGTACATTTACTGCAGAGCGAATGAAAGTCAAAAACTTCAAATAGGGGGTTCACTGCTGAGGAAGTAGAAGGGATAGCTTTCAAATCCGGAATGTACATATCTGCGTTACTAGCCGTTGTTGATGTCCTGCTATTGTCCTGCATTTTAACCTTATTTGTCCTTCTTTACATCTGTTCTCAGCTGGTAACCCTAAAGAATTACTAGATGAATGAATTTAAAATTTAAAACAAATAGCTAGTTATTGAACAGTTAATGTGTAAATATATACTTATATCACTATTTTGAACGCTTTTTCTTTGCATCATTTTATTTTATGATATGATAGTTTATTTTTTTTAATTCTGTATTTTGGATAATGTTTTAATATACTCTTAGAAAGAGTTGTTAAACTGAATTAAATATTCAGATTTAGGAAATAAAAAAGAAAATGGTGTCTTACTTTCACAAATCTTTTGATTATATTCTGAATTCATAGAGAGGAGAAGGAGCACTTTTCAGAGAGGGATTTCTAAGCTTACCACTAAAATCGTAAAAAACTGAAAACTGTATTTTCTGATTATCTGATAGTCAACAAACTTTCATTACCACAGCAAGGAACCATTTCTAAAAAGTATCCAATGTATGCCAGTCTTGTATTTTGTTTCATGATGTTTCTTTTTTGCCTCTCCTCCAGAGAACGCTGCTGAGAGGCTTCTTGCAGATGAAAAAGCTTGGAAAAAGGAATTTGGGTTCATCCCACCAGGGCACCAGGAGAAGCTTGAATTGTCTTGTTTTTCTGGCATAATTGGTGATGCAGAAATATCATTGAAGTAATGTCAAACAATGTTGCATAATAATTATTTAATTGATTTGCTATTTGTTAGATAATGTAAAATTAAATGATGCAATGTTCTTATATATACAGTAAACCCTCATTAACATGAATTCAAAGAGACCAAAATAATTGTGAGTTCTGCAAAATCCATACATGAAACAGCAGAGAAAAGATCACTTTCTTAATTAGGGCATTTGATATGTTAATAACTTAAATTATTTTGTACCTCAAAATCTTTACAGACCTGTGTATTTGGCTAGATAATTAAGTTTTTCATTGATATATTAGTGTTAATTTAGTCTGTCAATGGAAAAATATACATGTTACAATTTTTTTTAAACGTTGAAGTCCAATTTTGCCTCCTGTTGCATCATGGTAATGCTGCACTGGATCAGCAGTTACATGCATTCTAGTATGAAATTGCGTGATTTGCGAGTAAGGCACTACCAAGGTCTGCTTGGTACTGTGAATGCCACAGCCTAGAAGTGCTTGAATGGCTAACATTTTAGCACATGATCCCAACACGATCTCCCATGCTCTGCATAATGTCATCAGGGTCTCTTGTGGAAAACACCACAAACTGGACCCCAGTCTGCTCTAGTTGTAGGTGCTCTTGTTTAAAAAAAATCAAAGCTGATCTCTGCAATTGTTAATGCACATTATAATTGTTTTGATCATAAAATTAATCAAAATTCAATAATTTGAGAACAATTCTTTTATTTATTGTAAAGAATAGCTAGTCTGCTGCAACACTACTGCGCATTCGGACCAGCCACCACTGGTTATTTGAACACATAGAATATTATCTTACTAATTATAAAATAATTTGATAATGGGGTATATGTGAATAGTGTTTTACTTTTCTTGCAGATCAGTTGTTGGAACTCAAAAAACCCAGAAAAACAAAGTTACTCCTGAAGAATATTTTAATTTGAAGACTGATAAAATGGGTAGTTTAGACACTATCCTTAGTAGTAAAGAGAGGGTAAGTTATTGAGGTTTGCATGTTTCATAACATTATTTTATACTTTGGTATGAAAATCAACGTGGTGGAGAATTATGTTGGAATATTGTGTGACAAATCTCAACTAGAGGAATTCTAATGAAGGATCCATCGTCATTGTATCTTAAAATCTGGAGAAGATGCTCGAGGCAAATGTTCTATTGAAAAGTAGTAGTGTAATGTTCCACTGTTAGTAATTCATTTAAACTTTTCTATATTGATTTAACAGAATGCAATATGTAATGTATGGGAGGAAATTAAAACCTGTCAACATGATGGTGTTTTATGCTAAGCTCTATTTCCATTTAACCAATTTCTCACTTTGGATCAATGTCATAATCAAAATATGGAATATAAATGTACTAACTTAAATAGGAGATACATGAAGAGATCTTTTCTTATTTAAAACTATAATTAATAGAATACCTCTCATGCTACTACATAAATATTTCAGTTGTACTTTCTTATTATCAAATACTGTATTTACGTGAATATAAGAAGACCCCCTAATTTTGAAGAGGCCTCCTGAGAACTTTTTAATTTTTAACTAATTCTTACTATTTAGTCAATATAAAACAAATTGCCTTGTTGACTAGAACCTACTACTCTAACTAAACCAACTAAACCCTAACCGACTAGACTTAATCTGCGAATATAAAATGACCCCGTATTTTCCCACTGAAATATTTTGGAAAAACCTTGCCATATATTTGGGTAAATACAGCATTTGTGCAATACTTTATCATTAATTAACAATATATTGATGTTCATATTGACAAAGTGCTTTGTTCTTGGTTCTTGTTGTTGGACTCAACATGATATTTTTTAAAATTTAGTTATACTATTTTGACTCTTGTGAGCATTCTGCACTTTATATATCATAATTTTAAAATAATGTAGCTTCACACTAGAACTCTATTCCAAATGGCCACGCCATGTGTTATTTAGGCATGGTAGTGTGTATAGGTAAAAATTCTAAAATTGCTCTATTAATTCTATTAACAAACAGGTCAATCTATGTAATTAAATTGCACAGAATAATTAGTAGGTAGTCGATATAATTGTACATAAGAGTTGAAGATTCTTCATATCTCAGACTATCTGTACGTCAGAATGGAAGTTAATAGAAGAGCTAAACCTCCAAAAAAGAAATAGATGGGACAAAAAGACTTGTAGAATACCGGTTGTGAAGCTGCACTCTCATTCCCTATGTTCACATTCACCTGCCCTGAAAACAGTGTTTTAAGGGCCTAAGTTGTGAAGTTGTGCTCCAGGGCAACTTGTGTTGGAAATTGCATTTGGACTTGCTTTTTTCTTCATAGTTAAATCCAAAAATTTATCTTTTTTTTGTTTTTGTTTTTAATCTGTTGGTTTCCCTGGGGATTCTTATCCGGGAATAGCATATTTATAGAGTTTTGTTTTCATGGCATCTTGTAAATCATACAAAACTGACATCTTCCCATCGTGTATTTTATAAACGGATTTTGTAGTAATTAATTACTGAACTGAAATTGCAATCAACTTCATTTGCAGATCTGTATTTATCATTACATTCTGCATTGAACAGTTCATGCTTCACAATATGCAACTGTAAATGTGGTGCCATGTCAACAATGTTACTAAAGATATTTGTAGGGAGTTGCGTAGCTTCTAATGTGATGATAAATTCAGTTATTGAAGTATTACTGCCTCCAGAAGTATTTTGCCTCCAGAAAGATGACATTACTTGTAGTACCCTGTGTTTTGTATAGAGTGATGTGTAATCAATGTGGTGATAAATATAAATGAGGAGGTGAACTGTTGTTATATTGCAGATATTTATGTCTTTGCAGCCCAACTTTGGTCAGGATATTGAAAGTCCAAATGTCAATCGTGCGAGAATTGCATTTGTTGATCCCACTACACAGGAGGTGCCTGAGAAACTTGGTAAGTTCCTTGTGAAAGCCATCAGAATAAATAATTTATATATAGACTAAATGTAAGCAGACAAAAGACAAATTGAAGAATCTGACCTGAAGGATCTTTCCATTAAATATTTTGTCATTCATTTGTTAAATATGTTATAAAATAACGATTCGTATAATAAAAATTTCTCGATTTAGCCTGTTTTGTTTCTTCAGTTTCTAATTTGGAAGTATCAACCAGTGAAGTTCCGGGTGAATGCTCAGTAGAAGAAGTTGAAGCCAGTTGCGAATTTAATGTCACACCTAATGAGAAAAGCTGTAGCACCTTGAGTGTCACTGGTATTGAAGAGATTCTATCCAAGCATCTTCAGGATACTCCCGGCACAATAGCAAGAAGTATTTTGAATCCAAAAAATAAAACAAAATCCACTTTTACTCAGGATATTTCATCACTCGCTCCAAGTGAACAGTTGTCTGATTTTTTGGATAATCATGCAGAAAAGACTCTTAGTGAGCAGTCAGGTGGGGGCTAAATTTGTTTAGTTTTTCCTTGTCATTTTACATCATCCAGAAACATTTTGATTCACAAATTCTTTTTAGTATTTACAAAATATTTAGTAATCTTGGAAAACAAAATTAACTGGAGTACATTATTTCATAGTTTCCGAGCTTTTCAAATAAAGTTTGTTTTTTTGCAGATCGGATCCAAGTAGAAATGTCGCAGACAGAGTATGATGCATATGTTGGTTGTGAGACATCAGCAGTATTTCAAATTCAGAGCAAAAGCAGCAGGTGGTTGAAGTGCAAACTGTCTGTCCACAAAATAGTTTATAATAATGCTATTGATACTGCTGTAGAGAAGGAATTGTCTTCCAATATGCAGTTGCCAGATGTGACATTAGTTGGCCCTGGTCAGAAAACTACACGAACCGTGAGTATTGATAATTTTTCTTTTCTTAAGTTAATTAATTTGGTTTTGAACGAAGTACAATCTCTGGCACACCTCCATGTTGATGTAGAGTTGCTGTTGCCTTGCCACTTTGTGGATTCCCCAAGTAACCCTTTCTGTGTAACACTGGCACTCAATGGGGTTGATGACTTTAAATGGGGCCAATGATAATCAGAGGGTGGATAGCCAAATATGCACTAGCATTTGATAAGTATAATAACAATCAAGGGGGGGGCTTATAAAGATGGATTGTGTAAACAAGTGTATTTTAAAGAACATTTACCCTCTCCCAGCTAGTACAATCTGAAATGCATTGCATTACATAAATCATACACATGTGGGTCAAACCTCTGATGCAAGGTAGGTTTGAACCACCATATAAAAAATACAGTAAGGGATAATTAATTTAAATAATGAATTTGTAAAAATCATTGGCAAAGACTGTACATTTGTCTTTGAGATTGTCTTTCATTGTCTGTGAGAGGGGAGATTTTTCAGAGAGGATTCACTGTATTTTCATCAAAAGGATATATCATAAACAAAAAGGCTTGCCAATCTTCTTAATCATACTCTGTACAATCAGGGAAGTTAAGCTGTACCACTGACAGGCACCACAGCTCCCTGGATGAGTGATCGCCTAGAAACCTGGAAACAGCTGTGAGCCCCTTTCATATGGAGATAAGAGGCAGTGACTTATGTTTTGACCGACAATGTTCAAGGAGAATTACTCCCCATTCAATGCCAAAAAGGCTTGGAACATTGTTACGCAAGTAACATTATACCCTGAGAAGACTGAAACCTTTACAAAATAATTATTGTAGGGCATTGAAGGGAATGCATAAAGACCTATTCAGGAAAATGAATCATTTAAACTTTTATTAAATGCTGCCTAATGGGAAACTTCAAAAATTTTGTGTTGCACCATTTTTGGGGGTGTAAAACTGTTTCAAAACTCTTGAAATAGTAAATGAAAACAATGCTAAATATTGCTAGATCTATCTAGTCTGTGTTACTTGAAAGAATTGGTTAATTTTTTAACTTCATTATATAGACCAAAATTATTCTCAATGCTACTAAAACACTAAATGTGGATATTACAATAAAACATTTCAATCGATAAGATTTAGGTGGCCGTCACCTATTTTGACCAGCAGTCAAAAATGGAGATTCATTCCTTGGTATATTATCTGTAGATGTGGTACTAAATTTAACCTTGGTTCTTCATGCCACTAGGTCGTAAGTGTGTACTTGTGTATTGCATTTTTGACAACAATAAATACTTATAGCATATTCTGAATTTTTGTAATTTGCATCTTATTGTTCATATTTATAATACATTATAGAGATTTTTTTCTATTTTGTAGTTTTTAAAAATTGGGAAAAATAAATATAAAGTCTTCATTCAACTAAAAGCACATTCCTAAAAACATAATATATTTTTGGTCTATCAGTGATATTAGAGCATTTCATACATTCTACAAAGTCTCTGAGGAATACATTTTGTTCCTCTGTAAATATGAGGTGAAGTGTCTGTTTCGTACAAAGTTGTTTGCACATGAAGCAAATTCCTTTATTTGCACTTTTTCCATAAGCTCCAGTTAGGCTCTTATTAGGATGATGTTTTTTCAGAAAAACAGGTACTTTGAAACCCCATCTTTTCATACAGAGTAAAAATTTTCAGTATTAGCACAATTGTTTTCAGATATATCAGGTTTCACTTTTACTATTATCTACTTTTTCAATATTTTTTATTATTAATGCCCTCTTCACTCACATGGAAAATAGTGTTATGATCATCAAATTCATTTTCTTTAACTAAAAGTTCCCCCTGTTGGAATATTCTCATCATGTAAAAGTTCAGAAGACAACACAAACACAAGTACTGACGTGCTGTTAAAAGTACCTAACCTCATTTCTATGAAACTATTTAAACACAACTAAATATATGAAACAAATGGAAAGATATGCAAAGAAATACATTGGCCATTCTTGCCAATTGTTGCAGTGAATTACAGAGAAAGGATCCAAATTCAAATCTGTTGTAAAATTTACAACAGCACAAATAATGGAGAGTTAATCCCATTTTAGGATATTGTGGAAACAATTAACCAATACATCTGGTGGCTGAGAGCAACCCAATTTTGTCCTTTTCATGCGAAGATAATTTTGGTTGTATGAGAGATATGTGAATTATTTAATGAAGTAGTTGATGATTGATAAAGTGTAGTAGCTTGCCACAAGAAACAGATTGCCAGAACTTGTTCATAAAGTTAATATGTAGTCCTTAAATGTTTATTTGGCATTGCTAAAGGTTCAAACTTGTAGAAATGCTCTTGGATACTTCATTGAGATGTTTTGATTGTCCTTTCCCCCCCATTTTTCATCCAGCAGACTTCAATTGCCCTTATTTTTTCAAACTAATCCTTTTCAGTGTGTTGCCCTTTGTACCATTGTATCAGTTATCTTTGATACGTTATTTCAATAATACCCTGTCTGCATAGAAAGTTTTTAAACATGCGTCTACTAGGGAAAATGAGCATTGTGTTAGGAAACTAGTGACATGTAAATGGGAATTTTTGCTGAGTGGACTTAGTTTCCTTGCATCTCTTCATTTTATCAATAGTCTTTTGATATTCAAATGCATTTGCTCTGAATATTATTTTTAGTCTATAATAATAATCAAAAGCTTCACATAAGTTAAACCCATGACTACCAAAGATGAGCGTGCTAAGGGATGAATCTGGTAGACTGTGTTGTGTTATTTTCAAAGATTTAATGTACTGATTTTATATTTTAATTTTCCCTAGATAATCATGACACCAACACTTCCTGGGAACTTCGAAATATATGTAAATGTGAGTGCTGAAGATGCTGTGACACAATTATGTAAAAACTGCATTGTGAAATTTCAGATGTTTTCCAAAATGCCAAAGGTAACTTTATTGAAATCTAATTTGTAGACTTTCAAATAATGCTGATGAAATAATAATCATTTTTAATTCGTGTTTCTTTCAAATGCAGGTCGAAGTACGTGAGAAAGGAGTGCCTGTCAACATAGTGGATTTTGGAACCCTGGCTGAGAGTTGCCGGCAGTTGATTAGTTTGGAAATAATGAATTATTCTGATGTCAATTTACCTTTAACTCTTAATTTAGAAGAGGTAATTTTGTTTTGTAGTGTAAAAGTTATTAGTTGTGACAGGGGTGTTGTGCACTCTGGGTGAGTGTAACATTAATTTCAGATCTAGATCTGAAAATCTTCTCAAGATAAATGTTTTAAAAATAATATTTTAAGTTCCATTGAACTTTTTATTAGTCTGTTTAATTCATACTAAAACACTAAAAATAATGAATTTTCTCCATTAGTGTTTTTCTTGCTAATTATCAGAATCACAAAATAAACTGTGGATGCTTCATGATAAATAGCACAATGTGACCCTAGGTAAATTCCCAATTACGGTATTTACCGGAATATAAGACAATTTTTTTTTTCTTTTCCAGAAATATCTCAGTAGAAGAATGCAGGGTTGTCTTATATTCGCAAATTAAGCCTAGTCAGTTGGGGTTCAAGTTTTTACATTGTCATTCCATGTCATGAAACTTGTAAATGTTGTTGTAACAATAAACTGTGAAGGTAAAAATGTCGCACGTAACAATACGTAATTATATTTGCGTTTGTATCCTGGGCATCCACCGCGAATTAGTCGGGCAATTCAGACCAATCTTTTTGAATGGGCCAGTAGAGAGAATCTCTTAACTGAATGACATTGTATCAAATGAAATGTAACGTGAAAATGAATGCTGAGAGTTTGTTACATGTGGGTTCGACAATGCCATATGGAATCTCTGTTGGACACCTGCCGAATATGAAGCTGCGTTTTGAATAGAAACCGTCAACAAGTGCGGGATTGATAGAAAATCTGGTGACAGATGGAATATTCTTAGATGGCGTCTGGTGAAAGACTATTGCCTAAAAGTCAGAAAAGTTACAGCATGGAAGGAGGAACAAAAAGAAACAAACATTGATACATGTGAAGATGATGAGGGTAGTGACAAAAACCATGATTATGATCATATTAAGAAACAAGAAAATAATAGTTCAGCAATAACTTAACATTCTCATCAACAAGGCACATTTCTAGTCAAGAAGACATTTTGTGATCTTATTTTGACTAAATAGTAAGAATTAGTTAAAAATTTAAAAAATTTGCAGGCCTCTTCATAATTAGTGTGTTGTCTTATATTTGAGTTTGATTTATATTTGGGTAAATATGGTATTACCACTGTTTGAGAAAATGAGAGAAATAAAATTTCCTGTAAAGAAAGACAAATGAATTACACTATTTTTCATGTTTTTACACAATATATTTTGAAAAATAAAGATAGAAATAAATAGGTATTTAAATGGAACTATATTTAAACTTCAACAAAATGTGCCCAGATAGTGCACCAGTATTGTTGTCATATGAAGTTCATTGCGTTCTCCCCTGTATTTTATAACATTGTTGCTTTGTGCAAAAATATAAAATTGTCAGGTTTTTCTTTGAATTCCATTCGCACTACCATCTTATTATCAAATTATCATGAAACACACCCAGACATAAAGATAAAAAAAAATATTACCAAGACTTTATCAATTTCAAACTGAATCGTTTTTTGTTTAATGGTTTTAATAATAGCAATATTGCCCAGGACACTAGTTAATCACATGCATGACGTATTCTTCAGGATCAAATGTGTTAAATAATTTCAAGTTGGTTTAATGTTATTTTGAGTTAATATGGTGACGTAGTACCAATGTTGTTTGAATTTCTCCCTCAGTTATTTATTTCTTAATGTACTATTTCTCAATATTAAACCAGTAATTTATTCCATGAACACTTTTTTTTCAAACCAAGTACTTTTTGTTGTTTTTTAGAGAATTTCTGAATTGTCAATGAAATCAAAATACTTGGGCTAGAATCCTCTCGTCAAAGCTTGTTGCATGGCTCACTCAGTTAAGATTACAGCTGTAGAAGCTGAGTCAGATTTTTATTGAAACCTAGGAAATTTGCAAAAATTCTACTTTTCATTTTTTAATCATTGAGCGAGTTGCGTGAACATCATCTGCAAAACAGTCTAGTGACTTAAGTTCATTACTTATGGAACATAAGTTGGATTTGAATCCCACTCCTGGCTTTTATTTTTTTTAATGAAATTAATGCACCATACAGATGTTAATGCCTTATGGAAACATTAATATATGTTTGTGTAATGCATTAATTTCAATATTCAATAAGTTCATTAAAGTTTGTACCAACTGTTTTGTTTTTAGTGATTAATGTCTCTCTATGCTTGTAAATTATATGTTGTAGGTATCTAGCACTCAACATACATTTACTTTGTGTCAAAGCGATAATGATAATTCGGTCAACAAATGCTTGAAAGTGGACGTGGCCTTCAAAGCCCCACTCATTGAAAATCGCACAAGTGAGTTGTGTACAAATTCTTCAGTCATGGTTCACATGCTTTCGACATATAATAAGCTTAACAATTTTGTATTGCAGGTACTCAGGGTGGATTTGTATACTATTCAGCATATCTTAATATTGCAACTACCATTTCGTCCAGTGCTAAAACATGTCTGTTGAAGAAGCTGAAACTAAAAGGCTGTGTTGGTATCACACAGCTATTGTTCAATTTCAAATCACCTGTGGAAATATCTTCACCAGGACCAGGCGTTTCGAAATCTGTGGCACTATCTATGAAAAATGGCGGAGTTGTGCCTCTTGACTTAAAGCTAACTGTTGTTGACTCTGATACGTGGCAGGCTCAAGCAAGCAATGTTATTACTGTAAGCAATTCAACACCAAGTATCCTTCCAGGAAAAGAAACTCGTTTAAGTTTGACTTTCACTCCATCCTGGGTATTTGAAGAACAAATTAAGAGGTGAATGACATATTTTTAGAAAGTAAGAGTTTAGTTGTTAGACAATAATATATGTTCATAGTATTGTAAGTTTTTTAAATTTTAATGTTGGATGTGTACTTTAACTAACTGAAATAATCAAATACAATGCTCTTCCTAGAAAGGTCAATGCTTTAAAGGTCAAAGTTGGGGGCTGAATCTTACCATTGATGACCGGTATGAAGAGCATTTGGATATGTTTGACTAGAAAGTAAATTTGTGCAGGAATCCTTGGATATTAATTGGATGGTGTAATATAGATTATTTTAAGTTTTGTATCTAAAATCTCTCGGAGATCTCATAGCAGATAACATACATATCATAGTATAACAATTTACTTCTGCTCATTTTATTTTGCCATAAAAGTATAATAAAAAACTGTTAAGGTTTTCTATTGGGAAATGTCTTGAGTAGTCTTGTATTTTGAAGAAAGGTTAGACTAATCCTGAAGTGGGTGATCCAGCATTATTGTTAGAAGTTTTAATTTTGTTCCATTAGGAAACTCATGATACATGTTACTCCTGGTGGCAACCTGTTTGAAGTTGAAATCCAAGCCCACATTAAAAACGATGAAAGGAGTCAGATCAAAGAGAGACTTTCCTGTCATTCGTCGGGTTCATCTCAAAGTGTTGGTAAGTTCATGCTATTAATTTAATTTGGCTGTTCAGATGTTATTTTTCAATGTGTACTTCATGATCCATTTCCTCAACTTTATGATAATTTTGAGCTATAAATGCAGTAAATGTTTTGTTCTATTGTTAATTACTGAATTGATGTAGCAAATGTCACATTTCATTCGTTTGGAGAAGGCTGTAATATTAAGTCACAATCTGTTTTGGGACACCCTGGAGATCTTAATGCTAGCAGGTTTCCCATTTTGAGAATTTTCACCATTTATACTTTTCCATATACACACGTATTTATAGAGTAATATTAGAAGTATAGGGAAAGTTATGTAATGCTGTGTGAAAAAATGGCAGATTTCTGGCAGGAAAAAACAACAACAAACAAACACAAACAAACAAACAAACAAACAAACAAAACAAACAAAAAGATGCTGGACCCTGATACCAAAAAAGTGGATAAATCCAGTTGCTGAGAAGAAAAAAAAGTCCTCTAATTCGTGGTGTAGCCAGAATCCTTGGCATCACCTTGGGTGGTGCCGCGCTTTGTGGGGCCTTGACATCAAAAAGCCTATTGATGGCAAAATGTACATCCATCTGTGAACACCACTACTGGCTAAACCATACTTAGGATTTTTTCCAAAATAAAGAAACCCCTGTTCACTTGATTGGAGTCGAAACTTTGAGATTTTGAAAAACATTATTTATAATTTGGGTGTACTTTACATGAAACCATCTGGAACATTTTCAAAATTTTCTCAAACACAGTACAAATTTTTTTCTTTAAATTCTTTGAAAGAATAGTGTAAAATACCCTTATAAATGTAACATAGGTCAGATTTTCAAGGTTTACTCTGAATTTTGTGAAAATTGCAAAAGTTTCATTTTTTATGGTGTTCTCCAACAACTGTAAAGACTGTAAAAGACTGTGATTTTTCTTTCAAATAAAATTTGTTCTTCTTAGTCAGTTCTTTCATTAAGGTCATGTTTTTTTGAAAATTTTATTAGTTTTCTGCAATATTGCAGGCAACATATCAGATTTTAAAAAATAACAAAAACCAGATTTTCTCAAAAACGGATCCAAATTTTATCTTTGAAGTTTTGATAGGGGTAGTGCTAAATGTATTCTGTGAGATGACATAAACATCACTGCTCTATTCTTTTGTTTTTTCAGAAAATTACGAAAAAAATTTTTTTCAACTTGTCTCTCGTGTTGTTAATATTTACATTAGTGGCAATTTGGTTCCATTATTGTATTTATGAGTACATGTGCAATGTATAATAACATAATTGTATAATTTCTCGAAATACTTTATATCGCATAGTCTCTCGAAAACTCAACCATTTCTGTGAAAAGAAGCTCAAAATTACATTCAAAACCCCACAAACACCATTTTCTCAAAAACGGATCCACATCTTTTCTTCTAACTTTTCGTATGGATAGTGCTTATTACACTCACTTCAATATGATGTAAAGTTCATTTTGGGATATATTTTTGTTTTTCCAAAAATTACACAAATGTAATTTCTTTTAAAGATCTCTCATGTTGTTAATATGCTCATTTACAGAAATTTGTAAACACTATTGTATTTGTGAGTTAAAATGCTTGAAATGACTTCTAATGAAGTTTTTTGATAATTCAAAAATTTTCTGTGAAAAAAGAGCTTCATATTTTGAATTTACAGTAGCGCTAAAACCCCATTATCTTAACAATGTCTTCAAATTTTTTGAAGGGAAGTGCCATTTAGGATGAGGTTTTACTGTCTCTTTAATATGTTATAAATAATTATTCCGTTCTACAATTAGGAAATCGCAAAAATTACGAAAATTTAAAAAAAAATTGCTTTGGGTGGCGATACCAGCTGGCAAGAGTAGGTAGAAAGTTCAAATAGCTAGCTGTGACCAAAGGAAATAGAAATTTAATGCGGGAAAGTCTGTGCCATTCTGTTACACCACTAGTTCCTTTTCTTTTGTTCAATTGCCACGATTTCACCCCTTTATATTCATTGTTTATGTACCTTATTCTATATAAATTTATTTCCAATGTCGGTGTACAAACTTTTTTTCAGGTTCTGTGTCAGCTTCCTCATCCAGGAGCATCACTGGCATGCCTGTGCAAACAACTCACAAGTATTTAGTGTGGAACACTGTACCTGTGGGAAAAATTGAAATGCAGTCGTGTCGCCTACGAAATGATTGGGCTTCCACCGTCAAGATTCGTCTCTCCCTTGTTGATGGTAGTCATGGATTCTGGGTAAAACTTTTCTTCGCAATACTTTTTATATCCAGTTACTAGCTTAGTAATGAGAAACATGATTTCAATGCCTGAATATGTACTTTCTATTTAGTGTAATGTTGCTAATGTTTGCTAAATATTACTGTGTAATTGCCCTTAATTCATTCTTCAGAGTTGTAAGATCTTTTTCTTACACCAAATGTATCCTAAAAAGAGGGAAATTGCAAAGGAAGAAAGTATTAAACTTGTTGATTGTTAATAATTGCTATTGTTTCTTTAAAAGTTACATGGAGAAGATGCATTATTCTACCTCAGCATTCAAAATTGTTTTCAGTTCTAGTTGAGTATCTGTTAATAATGTGCTGATGAAAACTGTTGCTGAAGACATACCTAAAAAATTCAAATATTGCTATCTTGCAATCTGCAACATGACTGCATAGCAATAGAAAGTAATTTGAAATATTCAACATCAGAGAAATGACTATGAAAACATTGTATTGCATTCTTAGTTTTATTGCCAGAGTTTTCTAGATTTTGTTTGCACTCTGTTGCAAAACATGTAGCAAAAGATTTAAAGTTTGAGTACATCAACAATCATTTGGTCTGCAGCTATTGAATGAAAATGGAGAGCATGTACTTGAACGCAAAATGAGATTACATGCAAAGGAATGTGTTCCAGTGAACGTTATATTTTCTCCTACAAAAGTTGGTGTGGCCTATGGAAAAATTTTAGTTCACGAAGCAAAACAAACCGGATGTTCAGAGAGATTTGCAGTAAGTAACCTTTCACAATTTCAGTTAAGAACAGGTAACTGAAATAAAATAGTGATTTTGTGGTTTTCTTATTGGTTATATTTTCCTATCAGATATTGTTATATTTACAGATTCCGTTATTTGGTTACTGTGGTACCTTTAATATGAGCATTAGAAATGTATCTAAGGATAAATCTGGAAATATGTGGATAAATCTTGGGCCTCTAGACAGTAACTTGCATACTCAATTCACTGTCTTCAATAAAGGAAACTTGGACTCTTTCATTTATGTGAATTATGTTCCAAAAGGTAAGCATTAGTCTAATCATCTGTTAAAATGCAGGATTTAACCAAGTACAAAACGTGTTGTTGTTTGTTGTTGTTTTTAATTTTTTTTATTTTATTTTACTTTTTCCTCATTCTTTTCTTTTCTCTAAATAACTCATACTAAAAATATGTGAGTAATCATATATTTGCGGATTAAACCTAGTCAGGATTTTAAATTTTTACATTGCTTTTCCATGTCAAGAAGCTTCAATGCTGATATAACAAGAAGTTTCAAATGTGATAAGTATCCAGTGTATGTGAAATCTTTAATATTTCTTCTGGAAGTGGTGCTGGTATCCACCGTGAATTTGCTGATTTATCCAGACTAATATTTTTGAATGGGCCAGTAAAGTGAGAATCTCGAATGAATTGGATTGTGGTAAAATTTTACAGGAAAAAGCATAAAAGTCATGGTCAAGGTTTTGTTACATATTGATTAGTGAGAGAGTGTGGTCACTTCGTTTCTCACCCAGCGAATGCAAATTTGTGTTGTGTAAGAAATTAAATTAATATAATTTTTTATAAGACAATAATTTAATATTAAAAAAAACACATTGATAGAAGTATGCATTCTTCATCCAACCACAGAGAGTGATAAAAAATATTATCTTAGCAAAAACTTCCCCAACTGAAACATGCTACTCTCTCCTGCATTACCTGTGAAACAGGATATGAGCAACTTTACTTCTAGGCTGTCCGGGTGACGCCGCGTCGTTGGCAGATAGGCCGACGTTTCGCCTGTCAT